TTTCACTATTCAGAGCTCGACCAATCAGGTGCTAGCTGGGTTTTATTGGCCGCGGCAACGCTCGGCCGCCGCTCGACCCAAAGCTCGTTTTCGAGGCACAGTGCCCCCTTAAGGAGTACTTGCAACAAAAACACAGCGTTTTCTCATACCACTAAAACGACTTCGGTGAACCGAACATAGGTCCACCTTGATTCATTCACGTTTAGAGAACGGCAATCCATGTTTTGCAACGTTGTTATTGTCGACGCTGTTATTGTCTGGTGCGCAGAACGACTAAGAGGGGGCGGGAAGGGGGGTTGAGGACCAATCCTTGCCGCTATTTTCATTCCCAACAACCGGCTGCCCTAATCAGTAAACTGGAAATCTACTCGTTAGTGGTTCTTAGGTGTGCAGGGAGTGCCTGCAGTGATCTAGTGAGCCATATCATACAGGAACACACATCGTAACGTTCGTGGGTACGTGCTTCCGGTGTGGACCTTTGTTTCCGCACAATGGTCGTCGAGCAGAATCTGTCAAGCATACTACTTGTTTCGTTACCGACTCGTAGTACGGGAGCTTGCAGCTCTTGGTCTGATCGCTTCCTTTGGACTTCCTTATTGGTCGCACCTTGCGGAACGAAGTTCCAGCCAGTGTAGACCGCAGGACCGTTGCGACACAGCGCAAACACTATGCCGTGGTGGCAAATTTAAGTCCGGACCCTGTACTGCAAGTAATCATGCCGTGAGGCGGTCTGGGGGCGCTGGCGCTTTATTCAGTACAGTCGGAAACCTTTCAAATCAAAGAGTCTGGTGCTGTTCAGAAGGCACCTGCAGCACACAGTCACATCAGGAGTAAGACAGTAATGCCTTACACCATGCGTCCTCGGGTTAGGTCAGTCCCCTGAAGCCGACAAGGTCAGACTATTGAGTCATCAGCTCCGGGTAGAGTCCTCAAGGAACCTTACTGTCCGCTTCCTCGAGAGTGTCACACTTTTGAGGCAGAAGCTAAGGACAGTGTCTCAGAAAGAAAACATACATTGCCTACTGTCGCGTGAGTCAGCCCTAGAGCTGAATGCGCTTTGCTGTATTCAGTAAAAAATTTTAAAAGTCGTTTAGCTGTAGCACCCTTTCGGTGCCTAACCGCCAAGTCACTAGAAGGATGCACAAGGGCTGGGATACTGGTAGGCTGCCCATGCCTAGACAGGAGAAGGCGAGAAGCGTAGGTCGGGTTCGAACCACGGTAATGACAAGAGCACATGTGATCCCCGTCTACATGGTTGGACACTCCACAGGACATCTTCGTAGTTGATCGCAGCATGACTCGTGCCTGAATCGTCTTTTGAGTCTGTGAAGTTCACCATCTACGAGAGATCAGGTCTTACAGTTGCATGTTAGCACGGGCTGAACGGCACCATTGTCCACATGTTCAGACTGCCCCTTGAGCGCCCCCACAGGACTGTGTGGAGCTGCCTGAAATTCTCGGCATTGTCGATGCGAACATCTGTTTGGTGCTTCATTTGGGAGGTTGGCGGGACTTTGTAATGGTGGCTTTTGTTCAGGACAGCGCTATCGCCAACTTGGGGAAGGGCCACACCAACTGCAGTAAGGCTTATGTGCAGCCCTCTCCGTACCGAAAAATCTCTGTGGACAGGCTTGATGGTTTCTGGATTTCAGTGCAAAACCCTTGTGATCTCCCCCATGGACATGGGTCGTGCGATTCTCTGCCTGAATAGCCAGCTATGGTGAAGTTCAGCACCTCGTAGCACACCATTGGCGTTCAACACAGGCCAGATACACTCTCCGCCTATTGATTCTCGATTGCCAGCGAAACTAGTGGTGATTCCTCACCAAGACTTGTTGGTTTTCAAATGTCTAACCACTACAACCCTATGGTGGTTCGGTCTGGTATGAGATTGGCCTTTCTCTGAGGAGGCGCAAGAATAGTGCAGTAAGAATTTCGACTGCCATATCTATCAACCCAGGTATCCCTACCAGCGTTCTGTTCCCGTTTTGGTGTGTCAAGTGTACTGTATATTTGACCCTAGTCAACCGAACATACTCAGACGTCCCAGGTTGAGCAGAATGCTTGTAATTAAGTCCGGCCGTCAACGTAAAACGGACTTTGTACATTTATGTTGGGTTTCCATCCACCGGGTTACGGTTTGTTCTCTACTTCGCCTAGGGACGTCGCAGTCGGTGGTGTACGGCTTGGAGATCATGTTACATGTACTCCGCATGCCAGAAGACCGCCTTCCTCTCAGTGCTCTTTTCACCCAACCTTGGGCTGAGTGGAAGCGACCAAGAAATGGACAGTGTATGATCTGGCAAGGAAGTGTGAAAACTAATCAGTAAACTTAGTCGGGTGGGAAACTGCCGCCTCCCTGGATCGGGACCCCGGGACTCAGATCACTAATCACTAATGACATTGGCAGAAATGACCTGATCGCGCATTCCGTGACGCTCGTGCATCAAAGCTATCGCCTTCAATGCGTAGCTACCCAATTTCCGAATAAACTGAACATGTCTGTGCATCCAAGGCTTGGTTGTACGTCCCACACTCCCGTTTTTCGGCGACCGAAACTAACAGCTGGAACCCATGTGCCTGTGGTACACAGTTTATAGCTGATAAACTGAATTGAACTTACATTTGGTGGTTGCAGGAGCAGTAGTCTAATTCGTATATTCAGCTTTTCCTCCTGATCTGTTGTTTATTGACTGATCAGGCAATTATCTTCTTGTCTTGGTGACCTGAAGTCCGATGGGTTAACCAAAAAAGCTGCAACTTGTGGCCGGTCCTTGCAGCTAAACGTCATTTCTTATCTGCAATCATTACGGTCTTTTCTGGGCCACTTAGAAACGTTAGTTATGTAAACTGCAGGCATTGTTATATGAACCTGGGCAGCTTGCTCAGAGAGATGGAGGATCTTCTTGGTGTCCTGGGTGCCAAGAGTTGAATCGGTGGTCTGTTGTACGGCAGGCATATGTTGGTTGAACTCAACGAGACGGTGGAACCTTGGCGGTAGGTCTGCTGGTGATTGCTTTTTCAGGCCATCGGGTCCTGCTCCTTTTATAGGATATTGTTTAAGCCAAGTGGTTAGGTGAAGTCTAAGTCTTGCATGTACAACGGCGCGGTCTGGATTGCATTTTTTTCGATTCTTGCTCCACTGCAGGAAGTGCAGTCTTTAACGGACAGTGCCCATTGTATTCATTCAGCTGTAACACCCTTTCGGTTCCAAACTGCCATTCCACCTAAGGGAAGCACGAGGGCTGGGATGCTGACAGATTGCCCAAGCCTAGACAGGAGAAGTCGAGATGCAGTGGCCCGGTTTGAACCACGGGCTTTCCGGTTAGTAAATTCATGCTCTAACCACTAAGCCATCTTGCCCGATTGTATTGCAACAGGTGTGTATAGCGCAACCGTCGTTGGATTACAAGATAAGTAAACTCTTTGTGTGCCAAATTTTGATTAGGAGCGAAAAAGTTGATCGGATGAACACCGTTTCTTCAGCGTCGTAGGAAGCCAAACTTCTAGGGGCTGTGATGGATGCTACCGTCTGAATCTCCGATCCTAGGGTCCCAGTCACCAGCAGCCGTCAGGACGTTACTGTCAGGCATACCATCAACCACTTTTGTAGCTGATTGCACATCTTTGTCATGGGCTTTTGGCGAAAACCTAAGGACCAAGACGCCTCTGAAGATGAAGTCCCCAGGAGGGTCTTTGAAACGAGCTACACTGGCTACCAAGAGAGTGGGCCTCCGTCGGCTCGGCTGTTGAGGGAAGGAGCAATACTGTGCACGTCCGAGTTGTTAGTTTTGTCCCTAGTCTTTGTGAGGTGTAAGTGGGTGGTAAGAAGGTCGGGATGTCTGGACAACTGAATCTTCTTGGATATATCTCATCCGCTCACTCTGCGATGTCTCACTTTCGTTCGCGTTTGCTTCTCTGGCCGGTATACATCCGAGTACACTCTTAGGGAAGCAGAATTCCGCAGTTTTTGATGACCGTCACGCTGTTTCTACACCAGTTTGATGGTACTAACGGTGAACCGGCACGTCCATCCTTTTTATAGCGGAAGTCATCCTGGGCTCGTCATTGGACCGTGGCTGTCAACCCAGACTCCACCGCGCCCTGGTGCCATTACCACCAGAACCCGGTTGGTCCGTAGACATCCGTTGTCACATGATCAACATCACCGCTCCATGATTAGGAGCGGTGGTTGCCGCACGTACATATTTCCAAGGGATAGGAATCAAATAGCCGATACCAGCCATTCCACTCCATGCCTACTTGGTACCAGAATCTTCAGCGAGACAAAGGGATGAAGTAAAGGGCAGGGACCGAATCGAAATTCCTACCCGCAAAGCAGGCTTTCTTTTGAGGGCCCTGCCTCTAGCCTGCAACCTAAAAGCCTGGGACACAAGGCAGGATTTGATTTGAGGATCTCAACCAGCTATTCAAGTTTATTCCTACTTGACTGTTTTGCAGGCTTATCCAGAGGAAACGGGATTAAACTATGGATGTATCCCCCTCTCTTCTCCATGTCGCTGCGCGCACCAGATACGTTTGGAGCCGAGTCGCGACCGTGATTAGATCCAATCCTTTTCTGGCCGTATTAGATAATTCGCCAAAGGCTTTTGGGTTATCCGTGTGTAAAGTCTTTAGGGTTGAGATTTTCGTGCTCGTATTTTCTCCGAGGAAGACGGTATCACTGTTCCAACTATCGTGAAAGTGCCAGTCGCCTGGAGGGGACGCCTTTCTATCCTAGGACTCCTATCACAGTGACAATTTACGGCAAACTGACTCCTCACACGACAACTCACAATCGTCTCGCTGCCCCCTCCCCAGCCTTTATGTCATAGCTTGACCTAGGGGAATAAAGTTCCAGTCAGCGTAGCATGGAGGATCGCGATACCATCCAAGCCCGAGAACCTTTGTGAATAAGCGTGGTTTCTCGAGTTTATTGCTTTGATCTTCATTAAACCTGCGACTAAGTGCTAGTGCAGGTCACCATAGTTACCAAGTTGCCGACCTTCTCTTGATATTTTCAGCCACCATCTCTTCCATTGCATTCGGTTAAATGGAATTGGAGAGTTTTCAACCTTCTTTTGGTTTGGCCGTCAACGTGAGTTTATTGGTAAATGACTTGCCTAGGTTCCGGATAACTCCCAGAGTGTTATGCGGTTTCTGGTTACACCCATGTTCTCTTGTCTAGCCCCTTAGTGTATATGAATTCAATAGCCTTTCAGTACTGAAGACATATTTTGGCACCTCAATCTTTTTCGCCTTGTAGTTATCTTCAACTTACTCATCCATTTGCTCTATCTGATAGCTGAATGTTCGTTGTCTGGTTGGCTTGCACGGGTCCCACAAAGATGATGGATTGGACGAAGCATTTAGCGCCGCATTGGATGAAGCCTCAGGTGATGCCGATCTGCTTCAGTATACTTTGGAGTTGGATGACACCGATCGAGTGCAGTTTCTAGTCGGCTCTCAATCTTTGAAATCCAATCTCAGTCAGGTAAACCAAACGTTCTTTTCCTCTGGCTTACTTCACATTCTCTCACTTACTCCTAAAAAAAGGGAGCGCACACCAGACCTCGTCCAGAAGGGACTGCCAGTCTGACCCTTTTTAGTTTCTTTTTTAACAGTCGATTGCTGCATTTAGCTACTCGTTGTCTAAGGGGACCAGATGGCTTGGTTTAGAGCGCGAATTTATCGGCGGGAAGGTCCCTGGTCTGAACCGGATTTCCGCATCTCGACTGCTGCCTACGCCTTGGCAACCTGGCAGCTCAGCCCTCATGCATCCTTCGGGTGGCATGAAAGCTAGGCTCCGAAAGGGTGTTACAGCTGAGCGACCATTGTTATTTTTTCTTATTAAGGTGAGTATGGAGGCTGTGGGACTGTGGTTGTCAGTGTTTAGTAGCACTGGTCTAGTTACGTAGTCGATGGGGCTCTTATATCTGTCCTTTCACGTCCAGTGATTAGCGATCAACTTTCCCACTTCAGAAAACTAGAGCGATTTAATATCGAATAGTTGAATATGTCGTTGCCTCCAATATCTGACTGTCTCTCCTGATCCCTCATTCTTCAAAGACTGAAACTGTAGCAGCACCAACGCTCCCGTGGTGCATAATTCGTAAACTGAGTGGAACTGAGATGTCGCTGCTTCCAAAATGCAGTTATCCACTGTCTGTGGAAAATGCTCACTACTCTCAACCACAATGATCTTGCGAATTTCGACATAAACATGTATGCCACAGATGTTCTTCCACCCACTAATAGCTGACCTGACCTCAGGAGCTACTGGGAGCGAACTGCCTGTATTTCTTATAAGCCATCCTCATCATTATAAGCTGAAAGAACCGTGTACTTGTCGTACAGTGGTTATAGCTGCTACGGTTTCGTTCACTCATGCTTTGGGGAGGTGGTATAGATAGCTGTGCATTGGAGGCAGGAGCTGACACATTTGATGCGTAAATACATGTTTGTTAGTGAACGCTTAACTGAGGTGATTGGAAAGGGAGCTATGCATTGAAGACACTAGCTTGGATGCACGAGCACAATTGAGGGCGCGACTGTGCCGTATCTAACAATGTCTCTAACCCTAGATGCTTCCCGTCTTCGGGTCTCCATCCATGGAGACGATGGTGACCAGCTCAACTGTGTTTGTTGGTGTTGGCTTTCATACTTCGCTGCCAAGTCATTTTTCAACCTCCGGTTCTCTTCCACCCTTTGCCTGGTTGCATGATAAGCATTCGGTCGACTAGCACTTAGAGTACGTAACCGAGCCAGAGAGTGTGATCAGTTCAGCTATCGTGGGTGAGTTATTTTTCCCGAAAACCATTCGACATACTTCAGCATTGCTGATCCGGTGTTCCCACTAGACTCGGGCAACTCTCCGAAAACATCGATGGTCAGACGCTGAAAGTCTTTTGACGTCTTCGGTGTGCAGCGGCTAAGTTTCTGATCCGTACGGTAATATGGATCGAACCGCAGCATTGTGAACTCGACTCTTGACCAATAGGCTGATGTCACGCTTACGTCACAGGTGACGCCGGCTCACAAAAGCTGCTCTGATCTTCCCAATACGGATAAAAGTAACCCGTGTTCTGTTCTTTGATTGACACGAAGAGACTGGACCTTATCGTGGTGTGGCGGTTTGTGTACCTCGGCGACCCATTGAGCTATACTGGGGGGTGTCCGCGCGACACTCACAGAGTCTCTCATACCAGGTTGGTCAATGGTTAGAGGTCAGACGAACACAGTCTCCTGGTCCTCCAGGTTGGGGGTTGGAACATGTATGGCGACTTGTTCCGTAGAAAAGGTAATGCATTTGCATTTCCCCGCCAAACACCGCTGCCTTGCGGTTAGGCTTTT